CATAGACAGGTGCCCCGAGCTGAGACAGGAGCAGGTACACGGACCTGCCAAAGGACCCTTTTGGGAAGTGACAATAGGTAGTTTGAGAGGCCAAGGAAGCCAGATCATGAAGGATTTTAAAACACAGGCATTAAAACCCAAGCCATCCCTGGCCCGATTGGCTTAGCAGTTGGAGCATCAGCCCTCAGACCAAAGAGTCACAGGTTCAATACCTGGCCACAGCTGGGGTTGTTTGGGAGGCAACCATCGATGTGTCTCTTTCACATCAATGTTTCTCTTTCTCTCTCTCTCTCTCTTCCCCCTCTCTCCCTTCCACTCAAGCTAAAAATCAATGGAAAATATCCTCGGGTGAGGATTAAGAAAAAAAGAAAAAACCCAAGCCAGATTATAAAGGATTTAAAAATTCCTGCATTTATATTTGTCTGTGAAACGGGCATTTCTCAATGACAATCAAAGGACAGACGGATAACATCCTCCAGTTCAGCCTGTCATAAAAGCAGACCCTATCTCTGGTCCAGCAGCATCTCGTTACCATGGCTGGTCAACTCCCTTTACTACATAGCTGTAGAGCTGAGCTTCTGGTCAGGTACCAGGGTCGAGTCAATGACAAGATTTGTCCTTTCTTGTTCCCAGCCCTTCACCAGTGCCCTTAGAGCCTGTGAGGCATTCTAGAATGTGCTTCTGAAGCTACACAGCCTGTGGGAGAGGGTAGGAGACAATAAATAACAGGAAAGTAATAGGAACTGTAAGGGAATACAAGAGGTGAGGTTAACATTTATTTTAAGAATCCAAAGATGCTGCCAATCCCCTCCTCTTCTCTTTAAGCTCTTCCAAAGCCATCTTCTAAAAATCTATCCCTTGGTTTCTCCTCGGCTTGGTTAGTGGCTTGTGGACTGGGGACGGCTGCTGTGTTTTTACAACAGTGACCACACAAATTGCTTGGTCACCCTGGCAAATGCAGCTTCTCTCTCCTTCTGTTTGGGTTCATGTCCACACAGCTTTCTCTCACTACTTTGAAACCAAGAACAATTTTAAAAATCAGGTAAAATTCATGACTGCTGATAGGTCACTTGGAAAAGTGAAGAACACGCACATAAGTTGTTTGGGGGCTTATGGTGGGGGTGATATTTTCCAAATTCGACACAATCTCTATGCAGCAGCTAAGACAGGAAGGAACTGGTTTGGTGGAGGTGGTTTTACTGTGAGACACTGCAAGCCCTTTGTTTATATGACGACTGTAGTGTAGATTAGGTAGGTGCTCTGGGCCAGCTAAAGGCTGAGGTTTATTCGGTCCTGAAACTGATTACGTGCTTTTGTACCTAGCAGTTGGCTCGCTAACTAGATACAACATTGCCAAATCTCATAGGATCCTGAGTTTTGTCTTGTTTTGTTCCAAATTTCTGTCCTCGTCTTTCTCTACAGATTCCTGTTTCCAATGTAATCTATTTCCTTTAGAACCTGCCCCCCCCCCCAAAAAAAAGAAAGAAAGGGTATAAATCACATAACAAACAAATAGTCATTTGATTCAAAATAAGAATTGTTCAAACTGGTAAAATTCCTACTGGTAAGGATATTTTAACCCTCTTCGTTTCCAAAATTAAGACTCTAGAATTAAGCTATAAAAGTTGATCAGATTCCTCCATTTAGAAAAATTATGCAAAGGTCATTGTCAGGGGCTGACTGTGTACACCCTCCGGGGAACTGTCCAGACAGGATCCTGATGAAACGGCCAATGTGCAAACACCGGGGCGGAAAAGTAGGTTTACTTATTAATTACAATTATTAATAAACAGTAAACAAGAATAAAGTCTGTGTTTCTCATTCTCACAACTGGAAACCTACTTTTGCCCGACCCTGTATTTCCTTTCCTATCTAAATGGAAACAATCAGTGTTCTTTTTAATTTAAGATTTTCCAATAGAGTGAGCAACTGGCATTTCCCGTGCATCTCTGTCCGGTGGGAACGGATGGGAGATTTGCACAGGTTTCCAGACAGACACAAGTGGTCTCGGTCTGCAGTCCAGGTGACTCTGGTCATCGTGCTGTTGACTTTGGCCCCCATCTGGGGCCCGTAAATTCTTTTTGCTTTCAGTTATACCCAAATTTGTCTTGAGTTGTCTCAATACCCAGAACAGGTATCCTTATTACATGTTTACAAGTGTATATCACACAGAATGTTTTATTGTGTGACCATGTTAAGATGTGTTCACTTTCCCGTTTCTGTTCTGTTTTCCTGTGATCACAAGCCCCCAGGTTCACTATAGGCCCGTGTTTCTCTATGGGCTTTCATGAAGGAGTGTATTTTGTTTTTTAAATTTTTTTTCTTTATTGATTTTAGAGAGAGAGGAAGGGAGAAGGAGAGAGAGATAGAAACATCGATGAGAGAGAACATCGATTGGCCGCCTCCTGCATGCCCCCAACTGGGGATCGGGCCCACAACCTGGGCATGTGCCCTGACCCAGAATCGAACCAGCGACCTGTTGGTGCATGGGTCAGCACTCAACCACTGAGCCACACTGGCCGGGTGAATGAATGTTTTTTAATTATCTCCGGGACAACACCCTATCAAGCTAAACTTGAACTTCACTTCTTTTTTAATGAAGCCCATACCTGGCAGGTACTAATAGCTTCAAAGATACTTGTAAAAATAAATAAATAAATAATGTGGAAAGAGAACCATGTTACTGTTTATTACATTTGCAAAGATGACAGTAGCTTCCACCCTCCAAATAAAAAAGTATTATATCTGAGCTTCAAATTGCTTCCTATTTTAATATAACTATTTCATTGTTTTCTCCAGTAGTTTGAACCAAATTACATTAATCTGCAGTTTTAAAATAAATGGTTTTATTTTAATATCCCCTCCCCCTCCTCTACAATATAAAAATTCCCTCTTACGCCTCAACCAATAGGTCGTTCTCTCCATTCCACAAATGGCATTAGAAATAGTCAGCACTTTCAAAAAATACATGACTCAGCCTCAGAATGAATATATGTGCACACATTTATACATATTTATACATGTATATTATTAACACCACAAGAGAATGCAGTAGTAAATATAGAATATGGTACACTCTTCAAGTATGAAAAAAATCTCATTTTTTATTCCCACATTGTTGGATTAACCGACTGCTCAGGTTTGGGGTGGAAAAGCAATCTAATTGCAGTTTCCAATTCATTAGCAATTGTCAACTCTCATCAGAGTCAAAATAGTGACATGGGATCTTGGTGTCCTCATGAGAAAGCATATAACAGTGATAATAATAACAGTAATAAAATAATGAGATAGTAGCCAACATAAACAGTCCATAGAATGTTCCAGGGATACTTTCAAGCAGTTTACTTGTATTATCCATCAGAAAAAGCTTTTAAAGTAGGTGCTATTATCCTCGTTTTCTGACGAGAAAAGGAGAGATGTGCTGTCAGTGTGTAAAACAGCGTAGGGTGCATTGCTAACAGCCTGCCTTTGCCTTCATTATTTCCCTCTGTAGAGTAATTAAAGCACACCTAGGTGAGACCGCTCTTCGCTAAGCCTTGGCATCGTCCAGTCACTGCTGAAAGCTAAGCTGTGAATCCTTTTCCCCGTTAGAAGTGGCGCTTGGTTTTCACGCCAACACTCGAGTGCGCAAACAGCCCTTGTCAGTTTCTCTACAGTATGTAGAGGAAGCTTGATTTTGGAATTATTCATTATTTCTTAAACATGGTATCCTTTTCCCAAAATATGGCTGAGTGCTGATTTCTCTGCCAACACCTCCCCACCCCTTCATTAACCTCTGAGCCACATTGGGTAGTCAATCAACACTATTACTTTGATTAATTTATTACTAAAATAGTATATTTCTTTTAAAGAATTTTTTGATTTTTTTTCTTATTATTTTAACCTCTGAGAGGTACAAATTTCATTCAATAAGTGGACCGTCTATTTTATACCAGCACATATACCATAAGTGATAAAAACAGGAATTGACAATCTGCTATTCTGATCAGAAATTTTAGATTTCTTACTGCTCTAGAGTACTTGTAATTAACAGAGATAGTTTTAGCTTTCAAGATCTGCCCCCCCACCCCAAAAATGAATATTCTAGGTATTAACACAATATGTGGAATCACAATATATGGGATTTTTCTGGGGCTGGGGCTGGAGGAAATCAAGTAGGAAAGGACAGAGAGATGTCTCAAGTTTGAAGTAAAGAGCAAAGTGATTTAAAAAAAAATTTTTCTTTATTGATTTTTAGAGAGAGAGAGGAAGGGAGAGAGAGAGAAACATTGATGAGAGAGAACATTGATTGGCTGCCTCCTGCATGGCCCCCACTGGGGATCGGGGCCCACAACCTGGGCATGTGCCCTGACGGGGAATCAAACCAGTGACCTCTTGGTGCGTGGGTCGATGCTCAACCACTGAGCCACACCGGCTAGGCAAGAGCAAAGAGATTTTTATCTTTAGATGTATAATTGGCACCTTTATCTCCATTACTATATAGGATAAGGGACAGACTTAATCTGAATTTCCACCAGTCACACCATCAAAAATGCATTGTATTTAATTAAATCACACTCTGTGCATATCTCAATATTTATCAATGCAACACTGATTCCAGCAATTGAGCACAAACACATTCACAATGCCGTCTTTCGGAGCAGCTCACTAAGTTTTGTTGTAACATGTTTATGACCAGTTGCCAACCTAGGTGTTGCATCATTGCTAAACCTCAGTAGAATGTTTATGGTTTGTTTTATGAGTTGCTAATCTGTGCTGTGCACCCATCGTCTGTTTGCAGTGGGAGGAAGTGGGCAGGAGGGTGGGGGGTGGAAGGAGGGAGGATCATTTTGTTTGATGTGTTGCTGGGAGGGAAGTCGGTCATAAAGTTTGAGCTACAATGTACGTAAAGGGTTTGTGGTCACCCTTGCACAAAAATAAACGGTAACGAATAGATGTTACTTACAAGCTGGTTTCCAGCCATCATACTGTTTTTCACCCTTGTTTATATTTTTTCTCAGGGGAGATCTCTCACGTCAAAGAGGTTAACAAGCCTTGTTCAGTCTTACTAAAAAGATCATCCTGTAGCATGGAAGCAGACTGAGTCATTGCATATCCTTTGTAGCTCTTTGTTGTTACCTGGAGCAGAGGACATTAGACCAAGATGTTGCATGAGCAAAGGACCTGAATTGTTCTTCCTTTGTGTGCACTAAGGCGTTGCCATCTCCAAGGGACCCGAGCATCTCAACGCCTCCATTTCAAACTGTTGTCTGCTTGCTTCGTACTAAACCAGATCTGTGTCTTTTCCATTTTATCGAGTTCCAGTGAAGTAAACCTTTTACTCCTTCCCCTCCTTTCTCTCTCTTTCTCGTAGAGCTTCTGCTAGACACACAGCTCACTGAAAATTCAGCCAGTCACAAACTGGAAGAATTGTAAAAGAAAAAAAACAACAAAAAAACATGTATCAATAAGTATCCATATGGCTTCTCATTTACTCAACAATAAATTAGCACAGAAAGTTTCATTTCACCAATGTATTCACAGAAACAAGCTCAGATCTTTGTCTATTGTCTGTACATTCTCAGTTAATGTTTCTTGCATTTATTTTTATACTGTGTTTAAATAAGAAAACACCTTTTACTCCAAATGGATTAAAGTTGATCCCTTCTCTGTAAATTTGTGTATGTTTATATTGTTGTTTTATCTTTCATTAAAAGATGCAGAAACTCTTTGCTTTGTAACTTTTGACTTTTGTGATCACTGAAGACAAAAGGGCTCAGAGAACGTCAACACATGTAGAGTTGCAATTGAAATGATCGCCCTGGGGGTATATTTCAGGGTCCGAGACAAGGATGGCACAGCGCCAGGGACAGATCGGAAGTGTTCTGTTGGGGGCTAACCAGGACCAGGTAGACCCTTTTTCTCCCATAAAAAAAGAACACAAACGGGACTTCCACCTTCTTAGAGCTATTTACAGGTCTTTCTGCCTCACTATGAATGTGCATCTCTATGTTTTGCTAATGAATATTCTATTAGAATTGTGTTTGAGTGTGACTTCCCAACTCAAGAGCTAATTTTTTTTTTTTTTTTTAAGTATAATTCTTACAAGTCCGTAGGTCAGGGGCTCTGAACTTGTCTTCGATGGTTACAGGGTCCTCTGAGAACATGATAGTAACCGCTAACATTTGCCCAGTGCCTGTCGCTGTATTGTGGTGTTCAAGTGCCCATAGATCCTCACGTCGAATCCTCGCAGTGTCCCTGTAAGAACAGCTCTGCAATGTTGAGAACACTGAAGCAGAGAGAAGCGAAGTCACTTGTTCAAAGTTCCTTAGTAAGCGGTGGGTTGGGTACAAATCCAAGCAGTCAGTCCCGAGCCCACTGTACCACAATGATCCACTTACACCACACAGCTCCCCTTGGTAAAGGTTACGTGAAAATCCATATACACTGTTACACGGGAAACATCTGCACTGAATTTGAGGACACTCACAGAATACCCTCTGAAGCTCCTCTGTGGACCCCAGGTGAGAAGCCTGACTCCCTTTAAAGGTTGCATCGGGGACAGGAAAGATTTTCCAGCCGGGATACGAATCTTGCTTATTTGTTGTTGCATTCACCCAGGCATTGCAGACCCTGGTTATTATTATTATTTTTTAAAGATGTCTAGTTATTAATATCTATTAATGACTGTAGGTAAATTTCGATTCTTAAAAAGTTTACCAACACTGGTGAGAAATCAGTAGTGGAGTCTGTTAGCTAGTTTATAAAATGGCCACAAAATGAAAGAAACTTGATAGGAGAAATCTGTATACAGGATGTAATTTGAACACTGAATAGTTTAAGAAAGATTGAATTACCTGTCTACTTAGGAAATCCCACAGCAATCTCATCACAGGACTCCCTTATTCTCCCCTCCGGAGTTAAAAAAAAAAAAAAAAGAAAAAAAAGATAAATGCAGGAAACATACATATGCAACTGGAAAGCAAGCACTGTCTATTGAGAAATAATGACTAATAAATTAACCAGGAAGAGCCCCTACAAACTCCATTCAGGACTTTCAGAGGAATGACAGAATGGAGAAAATGGCCAAAGTCCTAGGCTAGTATGTGGACATGATGTTTTTGTTTCCCTTGTGTCTATACGTGACATAGCAGGGTCATGTGGCAGTTCTTTTTGGTCAGCTTCATGCAGTTTTCCATAGTGGCTGTACCAACTCAGAATCCCATCAGCAGTACAGAGAGTTCTTCATTCACCTCCTCTCCAAGACTCATTATCTCTTGTCTTTTTGATAATAGCCATTCCGAGAGTGGTGAGGTGGTATCTCATTGTGGTTTTGATTTGCATCCTCTAACGATTAGTGATGTTGAACACCCTTTCGTGTACCTTTTGGCCATATGTATATTTTCTTTGGAAAAAAAAAAAGTCTATTTGGGTCCTTCGCCCATTTTTTAATTGGGTCATTTTATTGTTGTTGGTGTTGAGTTGTATTAGTAAGACCTTCATATATATATTGGATATTAATACCCTCTTAGCTCTATGATTTACAAATAGTTTTTCTCATTGCATAGGTTGTCTTTTCATTTTGTTCATTTTATTTCTTTGCTGCGCAGAAGCTTTTTAGGTAATAGTCCCACCTGTTTCTCTTTTGTTTTGTTGTTTGTACTTCAGGTGTCATCTCAAAACATATTGCCAAAACCAATGTCAGGGAGGTTTTTTCCCTATGTTTTTTTCTAAGAGTTTTATAGCTACAGGCCTTGCCCTTAAGTGTGTAATTGACATCGAGCTAACTTTTGTGAGTGGTGTAGGATGAGGGTCTCTTTTCATTCTCTTACATGTGAAGATCCAATTTTTCCAGGACCATTTATTAAAGAGGTTGTTCTCTCTGTTACTATGCCTGGCTCCCTTTCCCACATGAACTGACTGTATACGGATGGGTTTACATCTGGTGCCTCGATTCTGTTCCATTGGTCTATGTGTCAGTTTTTATGGATGCTTGCCTTTTCTTCTTCTTTTTTTTTTTTTTTTTGTACGTTTTTATTGATTTTTTAGAGAGAGAGAGAAAGATCGATGTGAGAGAGAAGCATTGATTGGCTGCCTCCTGCACTCCCCCTACTGGGGATCAAGCCCACACCCCAGGTATGTGCCCCAACTGGGAATCAAACCAGGACCTTTCAGTCCATGAGATGAAGCTCAATCCACTGAGCACCATTCAGGTGCTTGCCTTTTCTTGATATGGCCAGAAGGTGTCAGTAGAAAGTTTTTCAGACAGCTACCAAGTCTCCTATTCCTTCCTCAAATGGTCCTCAAATGGTCTGCTGGTCAAGGCACTGAAGCCACCATCGTCAACCCTGCCCAGGGAATAGTGACCGAGGGCCGCAGGCACAGACAGCTGGAACAGGAGGCAGACAGTCACGTTCCTGTTGATTCTAAGACGCATCATAGTTTCAGAAAAGGGAAATGCATATCGTAGAGTCCTTAGGTCTGCTGCTAACTGTGTGCGAACATGTGTAAAGCCCAGGGCCTGGAGTCAGGGAGAGCCACACTCTCATTCTGGTCCTGTGGCTCATTCGCTGTGGGACCCCAGGTGAGGTGTTTGATCTTCTACAGATTCAAGCTCCCATCTGGAAAATGAACATAATGAAGATGCCTAGTTATTGAAGATGTCACGAGAAATTCATTCAAGATACCTAATGGAAGGTCAGCAAATATCAGGTATAATTATTATTAATATATTTGAATCCGAGCTCCTCGTTTGTAGTCTAGGTGGAATTGTGATATCATTTATCTTACTCTATCAGTTATTCAATGTCAGTTAATGTTTTTGAAATCACTGTACTAAACCAATATGTAATATTTCACTGAATTACGATGCCATTATCTCCATTGCTTTATCTATTATTACAAAACCATCTGTGTGACTCACAGGAAAGAAACAGAAACAAACAAAGTTTCTTACGTAAGAGGAGACCCCCTTTGTCCTTTCCAACCAAAAAAAGGGTTGACTAAGCTAAAGAATCTAAGCAGAACATCATACTAGAACAAACAATTTTATCTTTAAAAGTACATCCTAATCTCATCCACTTGAATGTCAGAATACAGCCTATTACAGGATATTGAAAATTTAGTAATAGGTATATTTTCTGTCTCTTTTTATATGATGCCGACATCAGGATATCAGGATAGCTTGATTAAAATGTGATTGGGGATAGTCAATTACATTATTATCATTACTTGTCCATGTTCATGGTGTATCTCTTCCCAAGATGAGACAGATGTTTTAGATTTTTACTTTTGAATCTGATGGAGGGAATACAATTTATACTTTGACTATTAAATATAATTTTTTTTTTCTTTTTGGTGGGGGAGAGATAAACCACAGAACTTATATGCATGTGTGCATGAACAATGGACATGGACAACAAAGCTGGGGACAGGGCAGGCAGGGAGGGGGAAGGGGAATCAGTGGGGGGGGGGAAACATCTGTAACAAAAATAAATACATTAAATTTTTTAAAAAGGAAAAAAATAAACAAATAAATATAATTTCTATTCAGTTCAATAACCAGGAATTTTGGAACACGGAAGAGCACTGGGAGAGAAAACCTCCCCATCGTGCCGAAAGTTTGCATTGATGTCAAGAATGATCTCCTGGGAAAGCAGGGCAAGAACCGTGCATCACTTGTATAAAAAGAATATGAACCAGTACATTGTGTTATATTTAGTCAGTGTCCTAGACTCTTAAACACTGAGAACATCCATTTGGATTCTTCATTTGCAAGCAACAAAAACCCATTATAGTTGACTAGCCAAAAAAAAAAATATATATATATATATATTTATATCTTTATATGTATATTTTGGAAGCCTGTGGGGACTCACACAGGCCGAGGGGAAGCTGGAGCTGGAGTACCAGGCCCGGAATGAGGAGGCCTGGCACTCGGGCAGCAGGAACACTGGCTGTGGCCGCTGGGCCCACAGGGCAGTGAGGGCCTCCAGCCCTTCCCACTTTCTGTCCCCTGTGTTATGATCCTGGTGGAAGGTTCCCGGTGGCTGGACTGGGTATCAGAAAATTGCCGGGTGGCCAGTTGGGAAGCGCTTCTTGGGCTGATGGGCTCGAATTAGTGTTTTTAGAAGCAAAGAGGTAAATCCATACAGTGAACGGCCCAGATGAAGTCCTGGTCCCAATGAGCTGAGCCTCCTCCCGCTCAGCTACCTGCTTCTGGGCCACGTCTTCCGGTTGACTTAGCCAGGTGAGTGTCGGTGCGAGACTACTGGGTGAAAATTCAAGCTCTTTATCTGGCTCTTTATAGTGTCTGGAACCAGAATGTTTACGACTCAAAGCCCAGTTCTCACAGATACAATCTCACTCTCTGTGCCTCACTTCTGTAGTCTGTGCAATGGGCGTGATAGCCGCTGTAATTAAGAGAGTCAAAGCGCATGATACAGCAGAGGATTGCCTGGCACTGATTAAATGCTTTGTAGGAATTATTAGTAATCACGTCAAAGCTCTTATCTGTATAATTACCTAGTGACAAAAGCATCCGGCTTCGTTTGGGGAATAGGATTGCAGGCATCTGAGGTCGTGCAATGAAAGACTGCCTGTGACCTGTGTGCATTGTGAATAAAGCAATTTCCAAAAAAGAGTCTGGGCTACTGTGAGGAAGGAAAAATACATGTTGGAATGTGTGTTCGAGTTCTCCAAGAAACAGAACGAACAGAAAGGATAGATG